AATAGAAAGGCAAACTCAGACCATTTTCTAGGACTGAACATACATTACATCTGCATGTTTAATGCATTAGTGCTCAGTTTAGGCATAGCTACTAAGCATTTGTTCTGAATGAGAAATCATAAGAAAATGTCTTTTGCTCAAGTTTCAAATGTACATTTTTTTTCATGAATAAGTGACTACATAGAATAATAAAAAGCTGTTCATAGGAGAATTTTTAAAACTATAGAAACGCTTGTATAGATATGATATTTCATTCCTAAAACCCTAAGCTCCTAGATATGAAGAAATACAGACCCTGATCTTTGTTTACTCAAAATTTCCTCCAAGTAAAATGATGTTATCAAAATTTTAGAGGATTGGATGCTCAGTTCTTAAAAGATTCTCTAAATAACTGTAAGAAACAGCAGAGCAGAATTTAAATTCTATGCATCAGAATCAGAAGTAAATGAATAATTCACAACTTAATAATTTCCTTACCTGTTCTTTTGTGCTCACAGAATATCCATGAGCTACTAGCAGTTTCCTTGATTTTATCCATCATTGAACTTATTCAACTTTTTTTATTTTACAGCAGAACTTACAATCTTTCAGGGAAAGACAGCAATATAAGTAGGCAGGAAGCTCGTAAATGAGCCATTTCTACATCTCCTTCTTGGAGCTGGAGTTGCCATGAGTGCATCTGCCATGATGAATGAGCACATTTCCCTGTTGAAAGTCAGATGAAAGATTTTTCATGAACAAGAATCCTTTTCACTCATCAGTAAACGAGAGAGTAAAACATCATTATCATAAAGATTGGGACTCTGGAGATGTATTTTCCTCTAATTGGCAAATATGCAACTCCCACTGAAACCAGTGGGGGAAATGCAATCAGTCGAGCTCCTCGTGTACGTCTGTGGGCAGCATCTCGCCCTCTGGTTTCATGGTTGCAAGATCTCAAGTTGCTCCCTTCCTTGTATCTGCTGCTTAGCGGCAGACACAGAGGTGTATCTATCATTGCAGGAGCTTTTGCCTCTCTGTGCTTGAGCTAAGAGAGTTTCAAAGCTTGAAGCCTTTTGGAAGAATATTTTTGTCTATTTTCAGTCAGTAAAACCGTGCAGGAAGAGAAGAGTTCTCCAGCAGATCCACCCTTTTTCTTGCACTTTTTTTTCAGTAAAGTCAATATTGCTGGATTCAAAGGATTTTTTTTGTCTTCGTGTCCCAAGCTTTGGCTATATCTAAGCAACATAGCATGATGAGACCAGTAAGTCTGGTAAATTCCTTCTCTACCAGTAAATTCCTTCTTCACCCTGCATCCCAGTTTACTAAAATAATAGAAACAAAGAAAACAAATGAAACATTAAGTATTTTCCATCTAAGACTATGCCTGAAGAAACAGTCAAAACTTAGCATGAAACAGGTACTTTTCATTATATGGTAGCACATATTGGGCAAATTAATGTCCTGTGAAAGTCATCTTTAGGCACATGGAGTAGATATATTTCATTTTAATAACTTGGCATTTTATAAGGTGCTATTGCATCTGTTAACATTTGATGTAATTCATCTATTAAAAAGAGCAATAAAAAGTCCACAGATATCAGAAAGAAATATCAGAGAACTGTTTAAATTGAAGGCAGCCGTACAAAATAGCGTCCTTTTCCTTATCAATGCCTCTGTTACATTTTGAGATATGTATCTAAGTTTCCATTTAAATTTTACCCAAGTTTTCATATTTTCTTTATATTGGACCAAATTTTCCCATTATATTTTTTATTAGAGCAACAGTGGCTTTTAGGAAAATACAGAATTTGTATCAGATAAGAGACATGCTTTTATTGTGAAAAAAAACATATTTTTTTTTCTGCAAAGTATCCTGTGCTGATCATGTTTCTAATTTAAATCCCTGAGTGGGAAAAAAAAATACAAAAGACTGCAGTTGATTTTTATAAAAACTGTAGTAGATGAATCAGCATGTTAATCTGGCAAAACAGCTTTGGAGTTGTTCCCAAATTATATTAACTATAGCACTACAGAAATTTCATCTGAAGAGTTAAATGCACAATTGAAACCTTCAGTTAGCTTTATGTTATGCCCGTGATGTATATGTGGTCCAGATGGGTAAAGTGAGGCTGCAGGTCCACGGCAGTCTAAGCCAGTCCAAATTTCAGTCCTCATTTACATGCTGTGTCTTGCCCTCGCACTGGCCCCAGTCTACTCCATGGTAAGCTGGGTCAAGGACCTAAACCTGGCAGAAAACTGACTTTACAAAAGCTCAGTGAAGCACCAGTGCCACAGCAAGGAGGGAACTGAGCCAGGGTGACTTGGGCTGTGATCACCCCAAGCAGTTAGGGACTTCTCCCCTGGGTCATCTCCTTTTCTATTGTTTTAAAAATATGGAATTTCTTAGTTTTTTTTTTTTTTTAATATATACTTTTAATACAAGTAATTAATCATTATAATAATGTAGAATAGGAATGTTACATTGGTCATGATGAGCTCATGTTCAGTTCTTGATCCTGCTATTACTGAAGTCAGTAGCAAAGCTCTATTGACTTCCAATACAGTACAGCATTACTGTAAAGTAAGATTTTGAAAATCTTCTTCATAAAAAGTCTTCAGCATAAAAATGTTTATTGCACAAATGCAGGCTGGATTGACAGTGATACAGATAAAGATGTATATACACACACTCAGTATTTGCAAATATATATATATATATTTGTTTATAAACGTCCTTTAAATATGTATATATACACATAAGAAAACCCTGGATAAACTTAACTTTACCAAGAAACAAAGTTGTCATATAATTGGTCTTATGTGTTGGTTTGTTTTCCTAGAAGTAAAAAGGTGTTGTGGACATTATATCTGCCTTCATGCTGATATATCTGTTGATCTCAGTTAAGATTTGCTGTATCATCAAGATGAACAGTAATTCAAAAGGAATTGCATTTTACTGAGCTTCTGCTTAAAGTCCCAGCAACTTCAGCTCAAGGCAGTCTGGTTGGCTTGACGTGACTTGCGAACTGAAGCCACACGTTCCCTGGGGCATCCGTCAGTGTGGTGCTCAGAGCCACACTGGGGCTTTCCCTTCGGCTCACATGAAATGAATGCATTTTTAGCAAAAAGTACCTGTAATGAAAAATCTTGAAACTGCAATTTAACACAAATGATGACATCAAACTGCACATATGCAAAGATTCTATTTTATTTTTGTTAAATAATGCAATATCTTCTTTTCAAATGTCATTTGATACTCGTAATTCCGTTTTTATTAGGAGTCTTATATAAGTCTGATGTAGTTTAGTATTTCATATGAAGCTTGCAGGCTGTTTCAGGTCTAGCTGCTTACACTTGAGCACCCACTGGATGGCAGTAAAATACAATGTTGGGAATAACTCAATGTGTGGTCCTTCACCTCACTGACCTAAAAAAAAATCCTAGATTTAGCTCCTCTGGAAAATGTGCTTCTTTTATGAGATAATGTCAGTTTAGAACAAAGAGGAGCAATGAAAACAGGAGGGCAGACATCTCACTATTCACTCGCTTTTCTTTCATGGTGAACTGTTTCAAGTCCCAGCATCGGAGAAGGGCATTGCTCATACGGTTTGGCTGTGGATAGCAAGCAGAGCTTCCCCACTGCTCCAAGAGATTCCAGCGCTGCTGATGGCACAGGTGTTAGTTCCGTCTGTAGTCAGAAATGTTTACCATCTTTCAGTGACCAGGCCATGAATTCAAATGCCCACAGTTTAAGACGGATCAGTTTAAAGTTTCTGGTTATATCTTACATTTCTTATATCTTATATTTCTGGTTATATCTTACAGACAAAATTAGAATTTTCTAGTAGGGACATCCTTTGCATTAGGCAAGGATGACCTTTTTACTGCATCTCCTAAACTCTCTCTGATAATGGACACCTGGACCATGATTAGGACTCTAGAACATTGCCACAATACATTGATAGATAATTTAGTTTACTTTAGCATATTTTATGTATATGATAAGAAGAACCTGGCATACATCATCCTTGTATGTCAAAGGAGAACCAAGCAAAGGAATCCTATGCAATCAGAATGGCTGAGAAATAATTCCCTTTTAGGCAGTTAAGTTATATGAGGATAGAATCTTGGGGTATGAGAGGCTACAGAATCAGGATTTGGTGCATCAGACTAGTCCCCAGTCTTTTTCTCCCATACCTCTCCGAATTTATACCTTCGTTTAATAAACATAATGACAAATGTCATGACAGTTCTGAGATCTGAGCCATTACTGTGTTTGCAGTCTGAAAAAAGAAGGAAGTCTTTTTGTCATTTTGTATGTCTGTAGCTTTTATTAACAACAGCTTTGATGCATGCCATGTTGCATGCTAAGGTGCTGATTCCCTTCTACTAGGGAAAACAGTAGCGAGTGATTAAATATAATTTGTGCTTAGCAGGACCTGCTGTGATTAAGACTGGTAACCTTTTTGTATTTTATCTCCTTGTATTCACTTGATTGCAACCTTTAAAAAAATTCTTTCAATTTGAAATTATATAACTATAATCTCAGTTCACATGTATTTCTGCTCTTCATTTAAAGTTTAAGGAAAACACTTCAGTTATTTCTGAGATTATGAGAAACTGAACAAATTCAAACTTGTTTCCAAATTTGCTACGTTTTTCCATATGTATTACTCAAGTCCATGGTTGAAAATTGAGATATTAACAGTTGTCATTCAGAGGAACACTGAGGGCTAATTTCTAGTTCATCAGTGTGCCAGTTAGTTATGATCAGTTGAAAATCACATCTGAACTTACCTACCTGCTAAAGCCCTTTTGGCATCTGCAGTGATCATTTGCTCTCTGTCTGTTAGGTATAGGCACTTCTCATGTTGGGGTGTTGCAGGGAAGTGTAATCAAGAGAGAAGCACCCTTCTTGAGTAATTGTAGGGTTTTTTTTTAATTATAGATGTGATTCAGCAACACTATAAGAGGGCATATCAGTTTAAAATACTTATCTTATTTTTCTCTTTCCCCAGCTTGATCACTATCCTCCAGCAAGTTACAGCCTACCGTCAACATCTGACACCCAGTTCAATTCCCCAAAGGCACTCTTCCTAGGAAAAGTTATAGGTAAGATTATGTTTTATACTTTTTTATTTTATTAGGTATTTGTAGAGAATACAAAACCATAAGCAACTGTGATTTTGTTTTGTGTAATGTTTGTTGGAGGATACTTGCTGGACATCTCATTCTTGTTTAGAAGGTGGTGATATTGGAGTTATACCTTAAAAAAAGAGATGTTCATGTGGACATATAGTCTGAGATACACATAGATAGGTGATAATCTGGCTAATCTATAGAGAAATCCAGATATGAGGTAGAATGATTGGCGACATATTATCTGTGCAGTTTCATCATCTTCTAGGTGTCAGGTGTTGAAAATATGAGATCAGTGAGACCACTGTTTCTCTGAGAAGATACTGAATTTATTTTGAATAGTATCATTTACTGTGAAGTTATTGCATGCTTTATATCTTATCCCCTTGCATGCTCTTGTGGCATGGCTATTTCTCATCACTGTGGCACTCTCACAGTGACGCCCACCAGCTAGGCCCTTTGGAGGTCTATAGCACCTGATGATACCCTCGTGCTCCATACATTTTCTATCCCTTTTAAGGACATCTTCATTATACTTTCCAGTGTGGCAACTTCTTGGCCACCTCCCCAGCTGACATCAAAAGGCAAAGCAGACACATCTTAAATTGTCTTGGACTTGCTTTTAGGCCATCCTATTTTCCATTGCTTAATTTCTGCAGTCCTGGCATCTTGAACAAACTTCCAAGGTTATTCACTTCAGGAAGCAATTATTCTCCTGACATTTACACCTTATAATAAGTGTTTTTTCCCTCTTTGAGAGATGCTTTCTACAAGGACATGACTGTTTAAACTATAGTGAAGCATTAAATTCAGAAAACTATAAGCTTCTCTTTGTTCAGTGTTATGAAGTAGTAACTTGTGAACTGCAAGCACTCATTTTTGAAGTAGAATTGCTAATGTGGTTTTCCAAAGGTATCATTTTCCATTTGCTCTGTTTCTGAAATTTAGCTTGTTTCCTCTGCAAAACAGGAAATCTAAAGCCTCTAAAATGGTTGGTTAGCAGTCAAGACTTGAATTCTGGTGTTCTCAAAGCCAGGTCAGTAGATGGCACAAAAGAATGTGAAATCTTGTTTTGGCAACTCTGGAAATGGGATGTGTTTTCAGCTCACTGCCCTGAATTATAGACTAGTACTGATTCTTATTCTTAGTCAAACTGCTGGCCAGACTCATCATTAAATTCAAAGCGAGCAGATGAAGGACTTGGGGCAGAGCATTAAGTAACCGGAATCTCTGCAGGCAAGGAATGATGCTTGACTCTTTCCTGTCCTCTATTTGTTAGCAAAAATACGCAGCTAAAAAGCTACTGCTTGCTGAAGGGACTTACAGTGCTCATCTCATGCAACAGACTCATTGCCAAAGTGCTTCTGTCATCTCTGAATTGACAATTCTCTGCAAAATTGCAGGTGTTTTCAAAAGAAATACCAGGGTATGGCAGCATTGCTCCCTCACTTCCATCTTCTAAATAAAATTGACTGTTTTGACTTTTTTTTTTTTTTTTTTTTGATTCCCCTATAAAACTAGAGTGTTTCCTTGTCTTTACAATTAGGCAGCCCTTTGGGAGGAAGCTGAGCAAGGCATGTGAGAGGGATAATACAGAGACAGGAAGAAAATAGAGAAAATATTGTAGCAGAAAAGATATTTGAAAGGATGAAGATAAGGAAAAGGATAACTCATAAAACATAAAAGAAAATCATGCACTGCACACTGCTGTGTGAAAATAAAAAAAAAATAAAAAAGGAAGAAAAAAATGAAGGAGAAAGCAAGTAATAATAACTATGATATATTCTCTTATACTGAATTGGGTAGACAGAATTCTTCAAGCAGAACAATTTCTCACTCCTTTAAATTGCTGAGGTGACAGGTAAATCTAGCAACAGAGTTAGGTAATCATGGACCCAGACTGAAGATAGACAGGAGATTTAGACTTTGGACTGATTATTTCTGAGCTGAATTTTTAAGCACTACATAGGCAAAGTCCATCAGTTTGTCTCCCTCATAACTCCTTGCCCAAGTATTGTTTTTTTGGCTGTGTTTAACTGTTCTGAAGTTTTCATTTGGCATTCTTGATGAATAAATGGGCTGCAAGAACTGGGCACCTCAGGGGGTTCGTGATGCCTCCTTTCCTATCTATGTTACTTGTTAAAATATTGACAGTGACTGCAAGGCATGATAACCATCTGTCAAGTGTTTTGATCCAAATGAAATGAGTTTAGCTCAGTTCCTACAAATCTAAACCCACAATACCTCATATTTGACTTATTTGCAAAAGTTGCAGGTCTGTTTGAAAATAGTTTTTATGTATACTCTGACTGTCTCAATTGATCCTGCTAAATGAGAAATGAAGCTTAATTATTCTGCCAGCAACAGTCAAGGATTATAGGATTCACTGGACTTTTACGGAATGAAGAAGTGTAAAAACAAGAAAGGAAAAGTAAAAGATCACTGAATCAAAGCTGATTTTTATTATGTAACAAGGAAAGTTTTAAACACCTGGGAGTTTCTAGTTCTTCTCACTCTTTATAAAAATGGCAAGCTGAAAACATGGATTGAAAGCAAATTCTTAAACTGGAGTTTGAATCTGAATGAAAAATAAATGGAAATTAATCCTGATTCTGGGATAATAGCTATCCCACAAATACATATGGTATACTTAAAGATTGTTAACAGAAGGCATAAAGAAGTCACAGCAATCTGAATCCCATTTTCAGTTCCTCTACTAGCTTATCGGTTGGAATAGCCAAATTCTTAGAATATCCCAAGGGAATGATTTGTGGATTTTACTTCTGTTTACTTCTGTTTACTACTTGGTGATTTTAAGCTTCAGACAACCACTTCCCTGCTTCTTATGATGCCATGTGGCATCCATCATCATAAACTGCACTATGCATTTATTATATACTGTACAAGCTATTATTTTTCAGCCCGATTACTTTTTTTTAAACTGCATGTGATTAGTTTAGACTAGTAGGAAATAGGCTGCTTTTGTTTCCTCTCTTTTGTTTATGTCTTTGCAAAATACCTTTGGTTATGTAAAAGCATAATTGACTCTAAGGAAACAAAATGAAACAAAGGAAAATTATTTATAGAGACACAAGAGACATTGATTTACTGGTGTAAAATTGTTTCATGAACGTCCATCACATCAATCAGCTTTACTGTGTAACTCACTGGGGAATGTTGACTGAGAGAAGAGCAAGGTTAACCTTCTTACATGAGTTCAGCAGTTTGAAGGGCAAAGTAGATGCAGAATTCAGTATTTTTAAAGCTCCTAATTGTCACATCATACTGGCTAGACATATTTCCGTGGACCTGAGGGATTTGCACAAGCTGAAAATCTGGATACATATATCAAGTTACAATTTTCCCCCACCTACAATTACATTCTTTAAATAGACAATATGGGAGCAGCCTCATATTTCACTGCTAGTCTCTCATCAGTTATATTCAGTTTCTATTATTCCCATACTATGCAAGTCTCATTTTCATCAAAAAATGAATGCAGGGCCTTATTTTTGAAGACAGATGGATTTTTGAAGAGCACTTTGGAACAATTCTACTTCAGAACTGGTCTTCTGCCTGTCTTATTTCCATTTTTATTACAGTTATTTGCATAGGAAGAGCAGATTCTGCTGCAGCTGTGCTTGCTGCAATAGCTAATCTGCTGCCAATCAGACATCATCACTTGCACAACACCTACTACAACCTGACACCAATTCCTGCTGTAGGTGTGACAACAATATGGCTGATTAATAAAATGGTGGGGAGATGTCTCCATGCCTCAGAATCATTCATAATATTTTCAATAAATCAGGAGGGTCAAATCAAACAAAAAGCAATGATTGAACTGCAGTTGTAATCAGGGAGCATTTCTTGTACTTTAAGTTGAGGTGTTTTCTGCTTTCTGAAGTAATTTTCAGGAAGTGCTATTGTGCACTGATTTCAAAACCACCGATAGAAAATATGCTTAGTCTTCTGGAAAACTGTAAAAATAGGCTTTCAGTATATACTTCTTACGCAAGCAAAACTAATTATGAATTGAGAGGCAGAATAAAAATGAAGGAGGCAGTGAATGCCATTTTATATGGATGTGCAATAATAAAAATAATAGTAAAAAATAGAGAAATATATGATATTTACAAGCAGTTTAGAAGATATTTTGTAATGTTTCAAGGAAGATCTTTAATATGATATTTCAGCATTCGTATGCTTTGGCAGTTACCATAAACAAGGTATAGAGCTAAAAGCTGGCTATCAGGATGGCCAGCTATGAAGAGAAGGAGCAAAAACTGCAATATATGACAGAAAGTGTTATATGGCACAGTTGAAATCTGAATCCAAATTTTCATTGGCTTTGAGATCCATTTGTACAGCAGAGATGAGCAGAAAAGTTCATTTCTCTCTTCCCTCTAAGTGTAGTGGTTTGGGATGAAATGCTCATGTTTGTCTTCACATCTTTCTGGAGGGCTACAGCCATTTCAGTTATCCAGACTGCTAGAGAACCAATGTCTTAGTCTGCATTTCGTTCCTTACGTAAAAGTGAAATATTTCTTTGGTGTTTTGTATGCATCAGTAACGAAATAGCTCTACAAATATGTTTTTTTTAAAAAAAAAAATTCTCTGTAGACTCTTTATGTCTTTACCTTAGCCTAGTATTATTAAAGTATTTCTAATACAAAAGGATCTTAAATGTCTACCTTCCTTCTCACAGAAGCAGACAGCATTGCTCTACAACTAACTATCCAGAGATCCTGGAAAACAGCCTAGGGGCAGGAATTCTTTTTTTAAGAGGGAGCTTCCTCAAAAAGAAGAGGTAGATAGTAGGAGAGAGCTGCAAAGTAGGAGATAAATGGCATGGTTCTTTGCATTTGGCTGAGGTAAGGGGTAGAAATGGGAGCTGATTTTTCCTGCATATCATCTTTCCCTAAATAGCTATTGAATAATATGAGACAAGGTTTCAAGATTCACAAGCAGCA